GATACAATTCAGGGTTAGGTATACAAATATTCATTATGCAGGTGCCCTTGTTGATAAGTTGTCCTCCCCTTCCCCAGCAGATTCCCACACTGCCAATCCCACTTCCCTGCTCCCCTTTACTGATCATTTTCCTAACTGTAAATATTACTTTTTATCATAAATATTTTCTTTTACCAAATACTCTTTCTGCACTTACGGAGATGATTATATGGTTTTATTATTTTATTCTATTGAGCTATTCTATTAATGTGGTGAATAATGTTGACTCATATTTTAACTATGAGTCTACATTTATTTCTCTTAGATTATTTGAATTTTTTTTATTCCACTAGGTCTTTTATTAAAAATTTAACTACACATTTCTATATAATTTTTATGGATTATCTGTATTATAGTATTATGTCTTATTGTGCTATTTTCATTTTATGTATTTTACTTCTTATATATTATAAATTGATTATAACTTCTGTATCTATTGCTTTAAATAGTCAAAGTAATTTGAATTAAAACAATTTTTAAAGAATAGCCTTTTGTATATACCCAAATATTTACTATTTACTGCAAACTGAATTTCTTCCTGCAGATTTGAGTTTTTATCTGGAGCCATTTCCCCCATCCCCTCTCATTTTTTGTGGTGTTTGGCATATTGGTGACAAATTCTTCTCCTCCTTCATCTCACTATGTTGCCCAGGCAAGAGTATAGTGGCTATTCAAGGCAAATCATAGTGCACTTGAACTTGAACTCCTGAACTCAAACAATCCTCCCACTTCAGCCTCCTGAGTAGCTGAAACTACATGCATGTACTACCTCACTTGGCTTGAATTCTTTCACTTTTTGTTTTCTAAAGATTTCTTTTTTTAATCCTTTGAGGAATTTTTTTGCCAGATATAAAATGCTAGGTTGTCAATTTCTTCTTTCAGTATTTTAAAGGTCATTTAATTGTCTTCTGATTTTCATTTCTTTTATAACAAGTCAGTTATAGTTCTTATTTTTGCTCCTTTTAAAGCAATGCATCTTTTATCTCTGGTTGCTTTTAGCCTTCTTTTCTTTTCTTTTTTGAGTTGGGGTCTCACTCTGTCACCCAGACTGGAGTGCAGTGGCCGCTCCTGGCTACTGCAGCCTCGACCTCCTGGGCTCCGGCAATCCTTTCGCCTCAGCCTTCCAAGTAGCTGGAACTACAGGGGCACACTACCGCACCCAGCTGATTTTTGATTTATTGTAGAGATGAGGTCTCGCTAAGTTGCCCAGGCGGGTCTCGAACCCATGGGCTCATTTTGATTTATTGTAGAGATGAGGTTGCACCCAAGTTGCCCAGGCGGGTCTCGAACCCGCGGGCTCAGTCAATCCACTCACCTCAGCCTCCCAAAAGTGCGGGATTACAGGCTGAGCCACTGAGCTGGCTTAGCCTTCTTTTCTTTATTATTGGTTTTAGTAGTTTCACTATGATATGCCTGCGTGTGATATGCTTTGTATTCATCTTGCTTGTGGTTTTCTATACTTTTTGGTTCTGTGGGCTCATATATTTTACGAAATTTGGAAAGTTTACATATATTATCTTTTTAATTATTTTATTATTTTAATTTTAAAGATATGGGGTGAAATTCAGGATTAGGTATACATCTATTATGTTTTAAAATATTATTTCTGCTCAATTCTCTCTTGACTACTTTTTGGAACTCTGATTATACATATTTTGGACTATTTAGCTTTGTCTTAAAGATTTTGGTTCCTATGTTCTTTTTTAAAAATTATTCTTTTCTGTCTATTATTATGTGTTATTTCTGTTGATCTGTTTTTGCTTGCATCAATCATTCTTTGACTATGTTCAGTTTGCTATATAGTCAATCTGATAATTTTTTTATTTCTAATATTTTTTAGTTTTGAAACTTATTTAGCTATCTTTATTGTTCCTATTACTCTGTTGGAATTCTCCATATGCTAGCCTATTCTGTCCTTTTATCTAAAAGTTAGAAAAATAACTATAATAGTTATTTTAAAGTCCTTGCTTGTTAATTTCAACATCTAGGTCAGATGTAGATCTGCTTCTTATATATTTTTCCTTCTTGAATATGGGTTACATTTTCTTCTTTCTTTGTATTTCTAGTAACTTTTGATTTTATGATGCTGGACGTTGTAGATATGCTGTAGAGGTTGCGAAATATGTTATCCTTCTCTACAGAGTGCTGAATTTTGTTTTGGGATGCAGCTCATTTACTAGAATATCACTTTGATCCTATTGAGACCTGTAGTTAGCCTTTGTTATGATACAGTTTTGTCCTTAGCCCCAGGGTATAGTCTTTACTCTTAGCACATGGCTTTTCATAGGTTTTATCTTAATGTCTGATTTGCTGACTGAAATCTCTCCACTCTTACCAGGTCAGAATTCTATCATCTTTCTAGCACTGTGAATCCGCAGTGATCTCTGTTCAGTTCTTAGTCCCCCAGCAACTGTTATCTTCTTAACCTGTAGAATCTTTCCTTGCAGATGTGAAAGTTAGAATTTAGTTAAGAGCTCAAGGAAGCCCTTTGTGCAGATGCCTGAGGGTCTTTTTCTGTAGCTTCTTTCTCTCCATACTTTGCCCCACAAATTCCAGCTGTCTTAGCATCCTTAAACTCTGACCTTTCTTTATTCAACCTGAAGAGGCTGCTGCCATTTGCTGAACCTCATTTTTACTATACTTGGTTTGGAAATGGCCTATACCGAACGTTGGAATAAATGTAATAGTTACCCCATTATTTTGTCTTTTCTCAAGAATTTACCTGTGCTGCCTGCTTTCCAAAGATTGCAAATAGTTGCTTTATATAGTTTCCGGTCTTGTAGTTTTTTTTTGTGTGTGTGTGATCAGAGGGTAAGTGCAATATTAGCTATTTTATTATACTCGAAATCAAAAGTTTGATCACTTAGGTTTTCATTATGAGGATTTTTTATTCCACCCAAGTTGAAGGTCATATGGGTTCATGAATCAGAGGAGATTGGAAATGTGAAGACTTAAAATAGATCTGTTACTTTGAGGAAGTAGCTTTTCTTCTTTGGAACTCCTTAGCAGTCTTTGTAAGATGAAGATAAATATTAGTTTTGTAAATCTGTAGGTCCTTGGCATTGGAAATACTTGGGGAGTTTTAAAAAATATAGCTACCATATCCATAGCTATAGAAATTCTGATCCAGAAAGACTGGGTTGAACCCAGAATTTCATTTTAATAAATATTCTAGGTTATTGTGATGCTTAGTCAGGTTTGGAAAACACTGGATAAAATAATCTCTCAAGTCTTTTCAGGTCTAAAATTCTATGAGTTTGTGGGTGTGATGTTAAAGAAAATAAGTAAAGATCTGTGAGATTGAGGCACAGGATAGACAATTTTTGTCAAGGCAGAGGTTGGAGGTGGGATGTAAAAGACAGAAAAAGACAAAAGCAAACCAAACAGGGAGAACAAATTTGGATGTGTTTCTGCACTGGGAGTATGATCTACTAGGATTCAGTTTGGGACAATAAGCATCTGAAAAGTTGGTTGAGAGAAGTGCTCAAAGAAATGTAGGTGGGATAGTCAATGGAAATTTTGACTAGTTAGTAATTTAGAGAAAGGCTGGTCATAGCAGATGTTGAGGGTAGTTACCTGATAGGGATTCTTTTTCCTTAGGGAAAGTAATCTCTGAGGAAATGGTCTTGAGGGAATCTCTTGTTTTAATAATCAGGTTACTGAGATCTGTAATTTGAATAAATCACTAGTCTTTGTGTTATTTGTGTTTTTTTTTTTTTTTGAGTTGGAGTCTCACTCTGTCACCCAGACTGGAGTGCAGTGGCCGCTCCCGGCCACCGCAGCCTCGACCTGCTGGGCTCCGGCGATCCTTCCGCCTCTGCCTTCCAAGTAGCCAGAATTACAGGTATGCGCTACCACGCCCGGCTGATATTTTGATTTATTGTAGAGATGAAGTCTCGCTGCCCAGGCGGGTCTCGAACCCACAGGCTCAAGCAATCCACTCACCTCAGCCTCCCAAAGGCGCGGGATTATAGGCTGAGCCACGTGTTATTCACTTGTCAGGAAAACAACCCAGAGGGGACTTGGGGCAAATGAACAATTGGAAGTCATGTCCTTCAGCGCAGAAAGAGTTATGAGAAGTTAGAGGTTTTGATTTCTTTGATCTGGACTGGTGGAAAAGAGAGGGCTCTGAACTTAAAGCTGTCATCTTCTATTTATTAAGGTCATTTTCCTCCTTTGAATGTGGACAATAGGCAGTAGAGTATAGCATTATGGCTCTAAAATAGAGGAGGGTAAGTGCCTGCCCCTATGCTGGTCAGTCAAGTAGCATGATGGTTACAAGCTCAAACTGTGAGAATCAGACTGCCAAAATTCACCTTCTGGCTGCAGCTCAGTATTTGTGGACTTTTGGCTAGTTACATAATCTTAGTGTTCCATCTGTAAAATGAGGGTAATGATATTGTCACATAGCTCTTAGAACAGAGCCTCTCATAGTAGCCACCCAATAAGCATTAGCTTTAAAAAATTGTTATTAAACCTACAGTCACTTGAGTTAAAAGTTCTTGAAATAACATGATGTCACCTTCTTGATCTGACAGTGCTGACCCAGAGATGAACAGAACCACAATGGCTTCTGCCTGTTGAGACTTAATCCGGGGAAGAGGACCAGATTTCAGCAACTGAAGCAGAGACAAGAGAGGGGACGACATAGAAAAAGAACTGACTTAAAGATCTAAAAAGATATGCCGTTTATTTTTAGTTCTCTCTTCAGCAGCACCAGTTCTCATTCTGGAGTTAAAGTTTAGCTTCATATTGTACTTTGGAAGTTAAAGTCACCTGGGCTGTGAAGACAGATCTATAGCAAATGGTAAAAACCGTTCACCAAAGGTTCAAATCTCTCTGTGGATTCCTTTTTCAAGAATGGGGGATGGATATTAGGAAGGTGGTGGCAGTGCTTCTTTCTCTTTAAGTGGTGCTCTTCTCTTGGACCCCCAGACCTCTCTTCCCACACTTAGAGGAGAATGCTAGCAGAAAACTCTTCCATGACAGAGTCTGTCCTTGCAGGTTTAACCAACCAGCAGGGACTCCAGATGCCACTCTTCTTCTTGTTTCTAGGTTTCTACATGGTCACCGTGGTGGGGAACCTAGGCTTGATAATACTGATTGGGCTAAATTCCCACTTGCACACCCCTATATACTTCTTCCTTTTCAATCTCTTTCTAATAGATTTCTGCTACTCCAGTACCATCACCCCCAGAATGCTGGTGAGTTTTGTCTCAAAGAAAAACATTATCTTGCATGCTGAGTGTATGACTTAAGTTCTTTTTCTTTTGTTTCTTTGTCGTCTCTGAGTCTTTCATTCTGTCAGCAATGGCATATGACCGTTTTGTGGCCATCTGTAACCCACTGTTGTACACGGTCAGCATATCTCCCCAGCTGTGTTTGTTCCTTTTGTTGGGTGCCTATGGGATGGGGTTTGCTGGGGCCATGGCCATACAGGAAACATAATGAGTCTGATGTTCTGTACTAACAACCTTCTCAGTCACTTCATGTGTGACATCCTTCCCCTTCTTGAACTCTCCTGTAACAGCACTTATGCCAATGAGCTAGTTGTCTTTGTTGTTGTCGCCATTGACATTGGAATGCCCATTATCACTATCTTTATTTCTTGTGCCCTCATCCTCTCCAGCATTCTTCATATTAGTTCTCCTGAGGGAAGGTCCAAAGCATTTAGCACTTGCAGCTTCCACATAATTGTGGTTTCTCTTTTTTTTTGGTTCTGGGGCTTTTATGTATCTCAAACCACCTTCCATTTTGCCCCTTGACCAAGGGAAAGTGTCCTCTCTGTTCTATACCATTGTAGTGCCTATGTTAAATTCATTTATCTATAGCTTAAGGAACAAGAATGTCAAAGTTGCCCTGAGAAAAACCTAGAGCAGGAAAATATTTTCTTAAGAAAGGAGTAGTATTTGAGGAAAGAAATACAATGCTTTGATTATTAGTGTGTGTGTTTTCAATGAGTAATTCAAGTTCCAGTTTTTTTTCTATTTGATGCAGAAAGAGAATATTTTAAGTATTTACATTTGGGTGAGTGTTTGGTGCAGACTTAATCTACTTGCTCCTGTTCCACCCCAAATAGTCCAAAATTTCTTCATTTTATGCATTTAAAAAATAATCGTAAATCATTTAATCTTGAATGGGTCTTATACATCATTTAATCTAACCTTGTCAATTAACAGACACTGGAGACTCAGAAATATATATGCTACTCAAGGATATACAACTAGGTAGTACCACAACTGGGGTTGGGATCTAGGCCCTTGAATCCTAATTTCCTTTAGTATTTGTTTTATGCCACGTTTTCTTGCTTTGTTGTTGCCCTTATAGATTTCCTCTTAAAAGTATAATAACATAACACGTTAAAAGCTGATGCTATTTAAAGTAAGTTAATGCAACTTCTCAATAAATGCTTTTGAGCATTACATTTTTTCTCCAAGAGGGTAGGAGATGAAACATTTCTTAAGTTGATCATGGCCAAATGACAAGAGAAGTGTGCTAAGACTATGATGTGTGGGTGGCACTGAGTTAAGACTGAGGTTGTGATGAAACCATATGAATCCAGTCTAGTGAATTAGTACTTCTGTAGGATTAAGCGTTCTAAAGAGGCTGAGTAGAAAGTCATATATTATTTTAGGATGAAGAGAATCTGAATTTAGAGCTTTTTCAAGGGTTTGTTTGGATGTTTGTACTGTGATGAAGAAATTTGTGACTTAGGATAATCAACTAATGGCTTAGAAGTTCTAAAGGGGGCAACAAATAATTTTGGAACTCTATTTAGTTAGTAAGGCAGCACCAAGCAGTTGATTACTAGAAAAGGCAATTTTCCATTGAATTTTAAAGCACTGCAGGCAGCACTGATCTTCTCATGTAGATATATATGGGAAAGGAATAATTTATCTAAGACTGATTTGTAAACTAACAACATTATATAAAGAGAGGTATTTATACATAAAAACACTTTGATCTAAGGGATTTATTAGCAGTAAAGGATGGTTCTTTGGAAGAGCACCAATGTGTTAAGTGCTGAGGAGACACTTTGATTGATGAGTTTTTTCTTGGAAAAATTCTCTTCCTTGGGGAAAAAGGGAAGTTTGGTTGAGTGTTTAGTTTTGTCCTTCAGTATGACACAAATCAGAGGGGTTGAAGTCATGAGACTGAGTGTGTGTGGGTGAAGATTTTGCTTTAATCAGCATGGAAGAGGGAAAGAAAAGTGAGTTCAAGAGACCTGTGGGTGAGCGTCAGGAGGGTGAGGTGAATAGGCTTTATACGGTAGGCAGCAGAGAAAAACAGCAGTTCGTGAGGCATACAGTGGAGTTTTGCATCCTGTTTAGTGATTATGTGATGTTGGGCAAATTAATTAATGTCTCTAAATATAATTCTTTATTTTTCAAAAGTGAGACAGCGGTCCTGACTTTGTAGGGTCTTTGAGAATGCAAGTCCCTTAATAAATCTTAGTTTTCACCCTGCAAGAATTATCTAATTATCAACACTTCCTTGAGTTTTTGCATGACCTGAGGCAAACCACTTTACCTTCCTGGAACTCTGCTTAGTCATGAGAAAAATGAATTCTCCTCTAACTTTCATTAGAAAAGTAATATATTCTGGCAAAGTAATACTTGCACATGATATAATATTAAATAATAAAGGTGAAGTTTATTCAATGAAAATATGTCTTTCTCTCATCTAGTCATTCCAGTTCTAAATTCTCCTCTTTAAAAGTAACAACTGTTGCTAATTTCTTATGAATCTTCCCATTTTAAAGCATCTCTCTCTCTCCCCTCTCTCCCTTTGCCCCATCTCTTATTTTAAAATTATATAAAAAGGCATTTAAGAATGTTTTTTCCAGTGGAAACAGTTTAGCAAAGAATGGGACAGAAAACATTCCAAGGGTGAAATAAAGAGATGTCAATCACAGAAAAGGCCTGCGAAGGTATTTGGCTGAGAAAAGAGGGAAAGGGTAGAGGCATCTTGGCCCTGGAAGCATCACTGTTGGCCCCAACTCTACAGCCACAGGTTAAGATTTCAGTTCTCTGATCTTCTGTTCTCACTACATGGCTGCATCACCTCTTTCTCTATTTGGTTGATACTGGGTTGAAAACACCAAGATGGCAAGTCTTTTTAATTCAGCATACATTTCTATACACATGTGTTTATCTATCAATGAGACATTCTTGGAACAACTAATATTTATTGTTGCAAATTTGATATGTGAAATATGTCTGAAGAACAAAGATGATTTATGTCTCAATGTAGTAGTTTGTATTACTGGCTAAAATTCATCAGTCATTGAGTAGTATTATATATTCATTCCCTTGCCATGGTCTCATAGAGGCAGGATATATCTCCCTGCCCATTGATGTTTGGTTTGGCCATGTGACTTGTTAGGTTAAAGTATATCCCAGCGGGACCTCCAAAATGTTAGGTTAGACCTGCCAGGGTAGGGTTGTGCAATCTGGTGCCATTTGACAGATGCAAATCATTGCACAGCAGTTAGATTGGAAAATATAGTTTATTTAGAAAGTAAATTAGGGAGAGAAAAGAGATTCAACTCCCCAAGGTAGGAGGGGACCAAAGCTAGGAAACATGGTGGCCATAGCTCAAAGAACCACGTGGACACACCAGAGTTTAACAAAGCAATGCTGACTGGCTGCTTGGAGTCTAATCCTTTTAAACTTTCCCTTTGATAGGGGAAGGTTGTCAAGGTGATTGGGCGGTGGTCTGCTTCACGTCATCATGGAGGGGACAGGGAAGCACAGGTACTAACGTCAGGTGATACACGGCAGACAGGTGGGTGGGTTAGTCGCATGATTGCTGCCATAGTGATGGGGTCTGTCTGGGTCGTGAAGGACTGATTAGGTTAATTGGTTTACAAAACAAGCTGGGAGGGAGTTGTAGCAGTAGCTACCTCTGAGAAACCAGTTCTGTCCTTGGCTAGTGGATCAGAGGGTAAATTAAAGTGAACTGCTAGAAAAATACGGCAAAGCTAAGCAATGTTAAAATGGCTGCTTACTGACTATATTGACTCCATGTTATGTCCTTTCATGTCTCATTTTGGTTAATAGAATATTAGCAGAGGTCATGTAAGCAAAAGCTTGTAATGTCTTTGAAAGGTGGGGTTAGCCCTCTTATTCTTCTGCCATTGCCTCTAAAAGAGCCTCTCCTGTATAATTGCCACCCTTTCCTACTAATTCTCACCAAGCACATGTGAAGCAATGTTCGCTGTGTAGAGCAAGGGGAGCTGTCCACGTGAGCCCAGGCAAGATGAGCAACCACTATCAACTTGTAGACATGTGAGGAGCAAATATTCATTGTAGCATGCCAACGAGATTTTGTTTTATTGTTACATAACAGTAGTTAACAAATCCACTCAGAGAACAGAAAAAGAGAATCTTATCTGGAGTATGAAAGTTTCTTCATCCTCTGTGTGCTATGTTATAAGATATTGTTTAACTTACCATCACAAGATATATCTATATATCTATATAATCTATATCTAATTATAATTTTTTTCTCAATATTTATATGTATAAATGAGTATAAAACATTATACTCAATGTTTTAGTAATATAAATAATGCCATGACTGTTCCTTTTGTATTAAAATTTTTATCTAGATTTCTGATTATTTTCTGAGGAGAGATTCTTGTTGCATCTTCCTTATTTTTCAATTCAAAATATTTTCTAATTTTCCTGTGATTTATGTCTTTTTGACCCATGCGCTATGTATAAGTATGTTGCTTAATCATTCTTTTCTCAGATATATTTTTGCTAAGTTGATAAGTGGAGCAGAACTTCAGCCTTTTCTCTTCTCTTTGTTCTTTGGTCACCCTAATTGGAATGAATTCACACTTTAACATGTTATATATTTTTAAAAATTTTTAACTTTAAAAAAAAATAGATTTCTTTTTTTTTTGTCATTTCTCCCAAAACAATGATAAGCTTTGTGACAAAGAAAAACATCACCAATTATGTGATATGAAGAACTCAGCCTTTTCCTGATGCTTCTTTGTTATTAGTGAATACTTCACATTTATACCACTGGCCTTGGGTCACTATGAGGCCACGACTCTTTAGGTCTGTTTCCTGTGAATGGTTCATTAGTTATAGGGTTTGTTGATGCTATAGTCCAACCAGGGGACACAGACAAATTGTTCTTTTGAGATCACAATTGCATTAGTCTTTACTTGTGTAAACATAGTTCCTCTCTTTCAGGCTTCTTTCAGCACCCGTGTCACAGGTGGGCAGATTTGTAGTCATAAGAACTAGCATTGTACTGTCTAATGTCACCAACTTCATCTCTTCATCCTTTGTTTTAATTCTTTTCATCATCCTATGTTTACCCAATGCTGAAGATAAGTCCAAATCTTCAACATCTACAGTTCCAGAAATCTGTTTATTCCTTTCTGTGGATTAGGATCATACATTTATCTCAGATATTTTCCTGGAACTATGGGATAGAATAAATTACACATAGTTTCCTCCACCAAGATGAATGGTCTGGTCAACATCTTGAGAAAACAAAACTAACTTGCTGCAATAACATCCCTGTAATTTTTCTCTTGAATTTGAACAGTGAGGGTATTAAGACTCCTTTTGCATACTTTCAAGGAAATATTTGTTTCTTAATATTTTTCTTATAATGTAGGCTATATTTAATCTTTCTACCAATGGCTAGAATCATAGCTAAGATCACAGGCTGGGATAGTCTTGCTATGTTACACTGGTACTGGATGTCACATATACCATAGCTCGTTGCTGGAAAAAATGTCTTTGCTTTCTTGAACTCTACATTGTCTTAGCTTCTTCATACCACTTCTTCGAGAATCAAAGACCTAAGCAGAGCATCCGACTAGCTGAAGTTGGGTAGTATAGTTG